TTTTTTTCTTTGGTGGAAAAATTCGGCTCATGGCCAGATCCGGCGCCGGTGCAATTTGACTTCCTTCAGTCCGCGTTTGAGAAAAGCGGTGGCCGAACGCGGCGGGAATTTCGAAGTTAGTGAAAAAACCGATTTGCACGCGGAAACTGTCACACCCCTACGTTCCGGCCCGCGCGTAAATCCTGTCACATCTGCCTTTTTGGAAGCGCCGGGCCGTTGTGACACACAAATGGAGTTTGGTTCGGCAACGCGTAACTGAATTGAAATGGCCAGGCACTATCCGTAAACATACAAGTACGCGCGGTAATGCACCCGAGGGCCCTAGTTCGTCTCCTCTTTTCGCCTCGTCCACCAGCCATGTCCCAGGTATCACTCAATGAAAAACCTGACAGCGACAGGAGCTTCAAGGAGGCGAAAATCGAATCGCGTTCGTGCTGCTGTGTCGCATCTCGTGTTCTCTCACGTTTAATTCACATTTCTCCAGAGTCTGCGTCGAGTCAGCTCAAGGAGGATGCGGCCCTAGAGGTGGACCCGGACGTGAAGCTCGACAAGCACGGCCTCCCTCTTATCCCCCAGCCGTCCTCTGACCCCTCCGACCCGCTCAACTTTCCTCAATGGCTCAAAATCGCGATTTTGCTCCAGGTCAGCTTCCTTGTGGGGCTTGGACCCCTGAATCAGGCGGTCATCAACCCAGGTTAGTTGTCTGCGCTGCAGAGGTGGACGTACACAGACTCAATGAACTGCAGCATATGTTCCGCTGGCTGCGCACTTCCACAAAACTACCGTCGTAGCTAGGTAAGTTACAGACTTTCAGCCTCGAAAAGAAGAATCTAATACCTCTTCAGCTACCAGACCACCATCGCGGTATGCCTCCTGTTCTCGATGCCGTACTGGAATAATTAATGCAATTCATTTCATCGCGCAGATCGCATTTGTCGGCGTCGGCGCGTTTCTGTGGGTCCCGCTCGCGAACACGTACGGCCGGCGGCCCGTGCTGCTTTTCACCGCACTGCTCTCCGCTGCGTCGTCCCTCGCCTCCGGCAAAGCCCAGACGTGGTCACAGCTCATCGGCACACGCGTGCTCAACGGTATTGGGACAGCCTCGTTCTTTACCGTCGGCGCCGGTGTAGTCACCGACTGCTTCTTCCTGCACGAACGTGGCCGCGCCTTTGGTATCTTCACTGTATTCTGCACGTCCATTTATTCCCCGTACGGCCTGAGCTGATCTGTGTGCAGTGACCAACTCGGCCCACGTCGCGCCAATCCCAGGCGGTTTCCTCGCGCAATTCGTCAGCTACAGATGGTGCTACTACCTGCCTGGGATCCTCGACCTGACGTTATTTGTCATGATGTTCTTCTGCCTCCCCGAGACGCTGTACATGCGCGGGTCTAAGCCCGTTAAGACCGACAGGCCTATCCTCCACCGGATGCGCGTTTGGGGTCTCCGCCCCGAAGGGAAGCACCTCCGATTGGTCGACTTTTGGCGTCCATTCCAGATGTGCGTCATCCCTCTCTCCCTTCCTTCCCGTGCAGCCAACGTAGCTCATGTTTCTGTCCTCAACCAGGGTGGTGTACCCCTCCGTCTTGATCTCAGCGTTCTACTACGCCGTCTCGTTCTCGTTCAGCTCGATTCTGCCGGCCGTGACGTCCGCGACACTCTTCCGGCTCAAGCACCACTTTACGACATCGCAGACGGGGCTCGCGCTCGGCTTAGGGACGCTCATCGGGGCGACGCTAGGCGAACTGCTCGGCGGGATTGTCGTCGATCGCACGATGTACCTGAACCGCAAGAGCCACGGCGGCGAAGTCGTTCCTGAAGTGCGGCTGCAGGGCATTTGGGCGGGCGCGATTCTGCACCCGATTGGGCTCCTGATCTGGGGCTTTGCCTGGCAGTACAAGAGTATGCAGACGCGCCTACATATTTTGATCGTCGCCTGATTGTTCTTTTTCGCCGCAGCGCACTGGATCGCGTCTACCATAGCGTTCGCGGTCATGAACTTTTCGGCTCAGATCATCTCCACCGTGCTCTATTCGTACGCCGCCGACTGTGCGTAGCGAAGTTCCTCATTCCTCTGCCTCCGTGGTGCTCATATCCCATCTGTACGTGCACAGGCTACAAGCCGCAGACGCCCGAGATCGCGCAGGTCTTCAACTTTGCGCGGCAGACATTCGGGATGACGCTTGGCTTCTGGGCGATGTGCGCACCTGCTCTGTTTATTCCGTAATCGTGCACTGACTCCCGATATTTAGCCCGATGGGGACGAAGATCGGATACCAGTTCATGGGCCTCACGCTCGCGCTCGCGGGGCTCGTCACGTTCATCCCCGTCGTCTTCCTCATGTACAAGGGCAAGAGCGTGCGCGAGAAAATGGGCGCACCGACGTTCAACAACAGCCTTTAAGCAGACTTGGATCTTCCGCTCCTTTGCACTGTTTTCTTTTTTATGCATCGGGTATCATGGCTTGTAATTTGGGGAATGAATGATTGCTCTTCTGGTTTTGGGCGACTTTCATGGGTAGGAAGTACATAGATATTCGTAAGAAGTACATAGATATTCACGCACTATACATTTTAGGTACCGGTAGTTACAAATTTAAAGAAGTTGCACTTGACGCAGATATCGACAAGACGTCCTGTTCTGGACAGCGGCTGGACGGGACACATTACGAATAGCGACTGGCTGTTTCGTGTGCAAATCGGTATACCGTATACAGGTAGATCACGGTACAACACAGTACAACCGCTGTCGCTGAGTCCCATAACAACAGTTTACCGAGCGTCTCAGCGTTAACGCACCCCGGTTTCTAGGCCAGCCCTGTAAGTGGTGCAAATGGAGAAGACGTACTTTGGAATGGTCGTACCGCGCGGTGTTTACATCCAATTTCAACTTATTCAACTGTATCACCTGACCGGCCGGCGTCCGCCGATGTGATGCACATACTTGAGCGGCAAGTCACTCCCAGACACGTCTACCCAACGTCTACCAGAATTGCTTTGGCGAACCGCAATGCTGACAGAAATGGAAATCAGTACGGGGGTGGCTTCCCGACATGTTTACATAAACCAGTGCATACGGCTAACTTAGAACGATACTCGTACTCTACTGTAGTATTTCGTTCAAATCGAATTGTCACCTGTCACGGCCCCAAAATATACGTATGTCACCAGGTAAAAAATGCCCTGCCGATTAAGCCGGAGCTCCTGATGCCATCAAAAAGTGACATTTGAGCTATGTCTGATCGCAAATCAGCTCTGCCGAGATGCCATACGAAAGGTATAAGATGTCACGTCCAAAAAGGCCATTCGAATTGAACGATCGGAAATACTACAGTATACTATGTATGTCACGTTCCGCTACCCCCCACACCTACCCTATACACTACAAGGCTGCGATCCTCGCCTAAACCCCACCAGTGTTTTGCTCCCATTCGGGGGCCACCGCGTCTTAGTACTTAGTTTCGGTATAAGTACGAAAAAAAGTATATGCCACGTGATGAAATCGGGGCTTTGTTCCAAACTTCGATGTTGTCGCTCAAATCGTTCTGTACGCCATACCCGGCGTTGATTTGACTGATATTTTCCCTTCCGCCGTGTATTCGCCTACCTCCGTGCATCATCTTGAGGCGCGAAGTTGATTCTCGCGGGACTTGGGCGTGTCATGGCGCGGTGGCAGCGCGCAAGCCGGGCGAGGCACTTGGAGCTTGCCATCGGGGAAGCGATAGTGCGTCCTTTCTTCCGTCCAGACTGAAGCTCCCTGCCGGCGCTGACTTCAGTGGGCAAAGCTGACGACGTACCCACCATCTGGTGTCACAGCTCCGCGACAACATCAGCGCGCGCGCAACTTCCGCAATCAGGAGGTGCGTCTCCTGCGATTTTCTGATCCGACTACTCGTGTTTGAAGTCATCTATGGCACGGCAGCAGCAAGGGAACGTTGCGCACGGTGATTGTAGCCCTCCCCACGTATTATTGCGTTTAGTTCACGCTCAATACGATAAACTCAGGGAGCAACCTGGAGATATTTGCCCGGAGTACTGGTGTCACAGGTCCGCGACAACATCAGCGCGCGCGCAACTTCCGCAATCAGGAGGCGCGTCGAATGCGATTTTCTAATCCGACTACTCGTGTTTGCAGTCTTCTATGGCACGGCAGCAGCAAGGGAACGCCGCGCACGGTGATTATAACCCTCCCCACGTATTATTGCGTTAAGTTCACGCTCAATACGAGAAACTCAGGGAGCAACCTGGAGATATTTGCCCGGAGTACTGCTAGGTAAAAGTCAAGTGCGCTAGGTTGCACGAACTTACCTCTGAGTTGCTAGCGGTTCGGCCCAGTTGAACTGGGCGACACACGCCTCGCGCATGGAGTAGTAGCGTCTAAGCGAGCGCGCAGGCATAACGCGACCTTCAATCGGGCCCGTCTGGCATGCACGGGAAGAATCAGAAGAAAAAGTAATGTATCCAGAGGACGAGTGCCACAGAACCGGACACTGAAGTACCGTGACATTCGCGCAGCCTGAGGATGCTCTTGACTGTTGACGGTCACCTGTGCACGCGGCTCTTCTCCGCGCTTGTTCCAAGCGCGTCCCCTGCATGCACTCATTGCATACGTCTCCTCGCGTGCTGTCCCTCAGGGCGCCCCTAAGGCTCCAACCATTTAATTTTAATTTATCTTCCCCCAGCGATAAATACATGTCTATGATCGGTTCCGCGAGTCTTTAACAGACGAAATGACAGGAAGAGTATGTAAACGGTTTAAAATGGTTTATAAACAGTAAGTTAAATCAAAAGACCAAAAAAACCATTGTAACTAGCCTCAACCGCAATCCAAGGTTGGCTCCTCAACTCGCCTTCCGTTATCCACATCTTTAGGAACATTACCTCCGTAATTGTACCGGATTTCATCGAGGCCCGGGTCTCCCGGCAGAGGTGCCGCACGCACTCGGGTCACATTTGATGCCAGCCGTCGGCACCCGTCCTATATTCGTGGGGTGATAGCTGGGAGCAGCATGGCGCAGATGGAAGCGCGCGGGGCCCATATGACGAATAATACCAGCTGTCACCCCGAGGTCACTCGATCGAAACGAGTTGCTGCTATTTCTTTTTCTCTCATTTTATAGTTGCAGTGGTGGTTATCGATCTTGCCATTCCGAAGAGGGAGACAAATGGTCAGCTCGTAATCAAGCGGCTCAGGAGAATTAGCTCGTGCCGACGCGCGGTAAATCAAGCGAAAATTGGACCGTTTATGTAAACCGTTTAAAATCATTATGTTTACCGTTTACTGACCTCTCTAAACTAAACTTAAATAAAAACAGTTTTAACCGTTCAAACCGGTTTATATACGAAAATGGTTGGAGCCTTAGGCGCCCCGCACTTCGTCGGCGGAAGTCAATGCCTGCCAAGGCCGGCAGCCCAGCGCCGCATAAGTACATTTTTTTCTTTTTCGCAAAGGCTCCTCAAGATGGTGTTGTTTGGGAGAAAACAGAGACATGCCGCGGAGACATCTTGATCCTTCGAACCCATCTAGGAAAGCGGTCTCATGGTCACGGCTGACTCTGGTACATGAACATGAGGACTGCGCGCAGCGCGAGAAATAGTTTTTCCAACAAATTCAAAACACTGACTACCACGCAGTGTCGCGCGTTGCGACTCAGCCTTGTGCCAAGCGCCTCTGGCTTGATACGTCTCAGGCGCCGGCGCCATGGACCTACTTCTGCCAGCTGAATTTACTCACCCGGCCGTGGGAGGAAAGGGTAGACTGGAGAAAGTTCTTCTCGCTTACGTTCCGGTGCGCAACATCCCTCGTCTCTTTTCGTGACGACCCACCCACATTTGGAGACCGGTCGCACTGCTTACGGACAATCGGCTCGGAATAATCGGCATGTACACCTCTTCTTCACCGACCCACAAGCCCGAATAAGTATTCTATAAGAAATGCTTTTCACCGGACCGAAAGCCCCAGTATTTTCCGACAACCAAAACTTGCAAGACCAAAGCAATTAATACTTTGTGAAGTTCGCATCCGAGTCGCCTTCCGCCGGGTCTGACTCAGACTCGAGCGTCTGGATCTGGATTGCACGGTCGCGGTCGCGAGCGCGTGCGGACGGCGGAGAGACGTGCGTGGACACCTGTGTCTGGATGTATATCTGACCGCCCGGGCCCATGGTTCCGAGTTCAACGTTGTTTCGCTGCTGAGTGCGAGTGTAAGCGCGGCATCTCAGCCGGGATGGGGTTGAATCATCGATCATGCAAAAGAAAACGCACCCTGCCAATGCGGCCGTGGGAGGTATACATCTCCTGGCTGACGGCGCCGCGCTTTCGCCGATACTGGTTGATCGAATTGAGGGTGTAGAGCAGGCTGATGACGTAGATTTTTCCAAGACTGAAGTTGAACATGAGGTGCCAGAGCAGTTTCGGGCCTGCCGAGTTGTGCTCAGTGGGCTCCACCATGTCAGGGGACACCATGGGACGCACCGAGCGTCTGTGTCAAAATGAGGTCGATCGTAGCGATGAACTTTTGGTTGTTTTGGTCAGTCACTCTCAGATGTAGAACGGCTGTACCGTTGGAGGGATGGCACTGATTACAATCGATCAACATCCCATGACCCCAGCTGAAAGAATAAAACACACCTTTCGAACACCATGCGAAGCAGGCGGTTGACGAGGACGGTCGTTCTGCGAGCATGCATCCGTGCATAAATGTATCGCCGTGAGCGAGTCAGCAGCCCGGACACACCGTTCGAGCCCAGTTGAGCTTTTGCGCAGCGTGACGAACGTGGCGGCGGTGATACAGAAGTCGGCGAGGAAGACGCCGACGAGGTGGATCTGAAGTGCGGCATGAATCGCACTGCCATGGCCACGCAATACCCGGACGGGAGGCGAATGATTGCTCACCAGGAGCCACCGGACTTTCAGTGGCGCGTTGTTTGAGAGAATGTAGAAGACCTGTAAAGCGGCTGTGGTTGAGCGCCATGTAATTTATTGCATGTGCGCACCGTCAAGCAAATTCCGGTCATGCCGAGGGTCATGAAGCAGACGATTGGAATTATAATGATCCAGCTTCGGGACAGTAGATAAAGGCTGGGCGTGAATAAGTGCCAGTGAGTACATAGCTGGGACAAGCGGGGCTGGACTGAGGACACACCGAGTGCAAAAGAATGACTGAATGACGAGAGGTGAATATATATGTCGAAAGGTTCAACTTGGAGACCGCATGCCAGTGGCCGCGCACCTGTACAAGAACACCGATGATACCAGTCTGCCATGCACGAGCAGAAATAAATTTAACAGAGAACAATTGCGAGCATGCGCGGCGGCGACGCACCATCAAGGGCGTGCTAGCTTGCCACCACGCTGTGCTGACGCGGAGGCGCGCTACGTCTGAGAATGCAAATCTGCGTGTTAGTGCTGCCAGTAGGCGTGGGGTGCAAAGCACGCTCACCTGGGTTGGCGAAATCGTGGACATTCTGCACCCACACCTGTGCATCGTCGGCGGACTGCACGGGGCGCGCCTAACGGACCACACACCACACTTATTTCCTGGATGGTCTGAAGGACGCGGAACGATGGTCAGCGTTGAATAAATCCAGGCCGAGGCGCCACGCACCTTGAGCACCGACAGTCCAAGAACGACGAAGACGAGGTAGAAGCAGTATCGCTGAAACGCTGTCTTTTCGGGCGACCGCGTCCGGAAGAAGTTTTGTACTTGACAGAACACCACGCCTGTGTGCCAGGCGAGTCGAATCAATTTAATCAACTACTTGAGCTCTGAGGTTTACCCATCATGACTGAATCTAGATATGCAGCCAGCACCTGTATTTGCCTATGAGCATCCGCAACAAAATCGCGAGCAGCGACCGACCCATGGCCCCAACGTGTCAACACGATCGCGCACAAACGCGGCTGAGGCGGGTGTCAGCTCGATAATTGACGTGGTCAGTGTCGCATTCGAGGCCATGGCGAAGATTGGCTGCCAATGACGGACCTGGGCCTATGACCGTATATAAGCCTTTCAACGCCGCAAGCCCTATGCGTGCGCGTGGCAGCTCCCCGGGGTGTCGGGATCCGCCTGGACGGGATCAGTTGCGCAGGCTGATGGAGTAATGTGAAAATCCCACATCGGGATGCCGTTATTTTCAGTTATCCTTACCTCGCACCTCGCAAGATCGTTCTCATTTGCGTTCCTGTCACGAAAACGGGGAGACGCCAGGTTGTCTTGGACAACAGCATGTGAGAAGCGTCGCCGCGATCTGCGCCAGCCAAATAATCTGATTGTTGCTCGTGTCCTCAGGCTTATCATGGCCATCGAAAAAAAAGGTGACTGGTACAACAGCGGGAAGCGGGATGGGCACGGGTGCAGTCGGTAATTGAACTCAGCGAGCGGAACAGCCTCGGGGCACGTGTGGAAGCCGCGCCGGACCGGCAGGAGATGGTGGGAAAGGGAAGCGAGGCGCGTGTGGACGGCGATGTGCGGGCAGAAAAATAAACACACTGAGCGCCGATGTCTAAGCTTCTAACGTTTATGTAAAAGTTGCGAACAGGGCGGTAGAATGTATATCCCAACAAGTTGAAAAATTTACTGATGCCTATCCATCGATCACTGTCAGCACATGACTGAATCCGATCTGGAAGATTCAGGTATCCATATGCGGCTGCATCGCATCAATTTGCCGACGCCGGACAATAGAATCACGGCATGAGGCGACTCTCGGCTCCGGCGACCTCGATTGTGCCTAGACCTGTTTCCTAAGTTTACTTCAATGTTTCACAAAGTGTTGTCATCGGCGTGACAGTGCGCATGTGGTAGTATCCATTGAATAGAAGCAGAGAATTGCACCCGAACGAACATATACAAACCGGGTGGCGACCGTCAGGGGCAAAAAAATGTTATTTTGATTCACTTGAGTTTCATCCTGCACACATTGATGGCGAAAAGTACAAACAACTAAATTATACCCAATCAATCATCTATTTGTCTTTCTGCTGCCGTTATGATTCAACATGACTGGTGACAACAGACTAATGAGGCCAGCTTTGCAGCAGGTGATTCTGGATAATCAAAAGGCAATAGAGTTGATACAGCACAGTAAAGACCTCTTCGGTGAGCTTAACAATTTTGTACCAATTAACAATATCTGATCTGTGGTTCAGGATAATGAACATTAATGAACGACATAGATGGTTCAAAGATTGCAGACAATTTTTATGAAAATATCTTCAAATGATTGCGATCCGAACTCAGACACCCAGATACTCAGACACCCAGATCTTTCTAAAGCAGCAGAAGCACTATAGGACATCATGCTGTGGACAAACCTCGCAAGGAACCAGGTATGACCTTCCAGCGCTCAGCGCCCTCTGTACACTATGGGCTGCAGATGAGATCTATATGTGCACAGGTTATGTAGTATGAGTTTGAAAGTATACCAGTAGTGATGGTGTTGATTATTTATCCCAGGTTTTCGGCGTTTCAACTGCACTCGATCGCGATGTGCTACATTCCCTGTGAAGTGGAAGTGAATCAGGGGTGCATTAGATAGCTCATGAGGTATTTTCCACCGCTTGAAATGGGGCTGTGAGCTCAGTTCCAGTGCTTCTCTCTAGTACCAGAAGATAGCATCCTCCAACATTGTTAAGACTTGTGCTTGAAAAAACTCCTTGAGTATAGCATGCTATAGCGGTCTGCATCATGATCATGTCCTTGAGATTCTCATGTTCATCATGATAATTCTCCTTAATCTGGATATATTTCAATGCTCTGGAGCAAATAGAAGCGGTCAAGCGGACCCTGGATTGAGAGAAATCCTGAAGAGAATGTCCTGAAGCCTCAGAAGAGAGGTGCCTCGCTGCATCGCACGGGTGGACGCGGACAGACGCGGACCTGTCCCTCTTTGATCACGACACCCCCAACTCCGACGGCTTGCAGCTGCGCCTAGGCATGCCTTTTGCTCTCCGGTCGTCCGCACATTCACACCATTTAATGGACCAATACACTTGACATTGCAAGCGACGTCGTGTTTCCGTGTTCAGATACTTATGAGTAGGGCCCTCGCCAAGTTCTCGTGTATTTTGTGGATCATCCTCTCCTTGGCACCGGC